GGGGGTGAGTGTTTGACCTAAGTGGCTTCCCAGGAAAAGACTTCCAGGCCTTCAAATCTTCCTCTTCCTTTTCCTTTGCTTCCTCTCACCAAGGTGTGCCTGAATTTACACTCTTAGATGGAATTTGGTGCCTCGATCAGTGAAAGGTTATTAATGGGGAATCTGTTTTATTCTCAACAGGAGCAGATTGGGAAAGTCATAGCTGATTATGAGGTCATCGATGAGGCATTGTTTAGCCTTTCCCAGGAAGATTTCAGCTCAAAGTGAGTTTATAGATGAGGAGGAATCATCAGCCTGGGGCACCCTGGCTACAATCGATTTACAAGCCCCAGCAAGCTGTTCAAGGGGCTTGTGGCTCCACTGTGACTGTGGCTCAGTCATGCCTGGTCTACAGATACATAATATGACCAAAATGTTCTAGATACCTGACTATCACACCTACCTATATGGCCAAACGTATGTGTCTAGATATCTCCAGTGAAGGTTCTGCTCATTCTACATCATACAAAGACATTGTAGACTCTTGTGTTCTTCCAACCTTGTGGTCACAGTCTGGTGAAGACCCTTTTCTGTTCCACCATGACTGTCCCCTGTGTACAAAGCTCCATACAGACATGGTGGGACCAGTTTGGTGGAGGAACTCGAGTGTCCCTCACGGAGCCCTGACCTCAACCCTACTGAACACCTTTGGGATTAATTGGAACACCAATTGTGAGTTAGGGCTTCTCATCCAACATCAGTACCTGACCTCACACATGGGACAAACTCCCACAGACACCTCCAAAATCTTGTGGGAAGTCTTCCCAGAAGAGTGGAGGATGGTATAACCAAAAAAAAGAGGGAGGGAGGCAATATCATATTATTGACCATGGTTTTGGAATGGAATGTCCAACAAGCTCATGGAAGCATGACATTACATAGTGATAGACTTCCTATCTAAAATAATTTTAGTTTCTCTGTTATCAACCCCAAAGCATTAAAAAAACATTTAAAAAAAGAAAAACATTGTAGACTTTTGTGTTCTTCCAATCTTGTGGTCACAGTTTGGTGAAGACCCTTTTCTGTCCCACCATGACTGTCCCCTGTGTCCAAAGCCAGCTCCATAAGACATGGTGTGACCAGCTTGGTGGAGGAACTTGAGTGTCCCTCATAGAGCCCTGACCTCAACCCTACGGAACTCGAGTGTCCTTCACGGAACTCAAGTGTCCTGCACAGAGCCCTGACCTAAACCCTACTGAACACCTTTGGGATTAATTAGAACACCAATTGTGAGCCAGGTCTTCTCATCCAACATCAGTACCTGACCTCACAATTGTGACAAACATCTACAGAAACCCTCCAAAATCTTGTGGAAAGTCTTCCCAGAAGAGTGTAGGGTGCTATAACCACAAAAGAGAGGGAGGAAGGCAACAACATATTATTGGCCTTGGTTTTGGAATGGAATGTCCAACAAGCTCATATAGGTGTGATAGCCAGGTGCCCACCATATAGGGTATTCATATAGGGTATTAATTAGTCACATCTGACACATGGAACCTCACTGAGTCTTTCGCCGTCTTCCTTTGTTAGATGGGCCATCATTGCTTGGCCGCACAAGATTACGACCACTATGGAGACCATCTGCGAGCAGCACTTGGAGGATGAAGAGCGCTTCCGGAAGATCCAGGTCATGGACCAGAACAATTTCTTGGAGCGTCTGGACTCCATGCAGGTCGGTACAGATCCGGCTGCCAGTCTATAGGCGAAAAAATCCATATGCAATATCCCCTGACAGCGCAAACTGTGATTTGTTCCCAGATGGTAGTAGCCGGATTCTCCGCATGCACTGAAATAAATCGCGCCCATGAGATCGCCAACGAAGTTCGACGAGTCCACAAGCAGCTGAAGGAGTCACAGCAGATGGCGCAAATGTACAACAACCGGGAGAGGCTGTTCAACCTGCCTGTGACCAATGTGAGTGCGCACCTTGAATCTAACTTACATTGACTCCCTATCATTTTCTGCACAGGTAATGCAAAAGAGGGCGGAACACCAAAACGATTCGTCGGTAAGGCGGTGGGGTGTGAATGTTTAATTTTCATTAGAGGTTGGTATGCATTTTGGAGGTTTTCAGATCTCCCGTCCTCAGCGTTTCAGAGTATACGCATCAGTGACGTGCCTTCTGTGCTGGGTGAGGCATCCCCCAGCCTGCCGAAGCTCCGCCCCGTCCCGCCGAAGCCCTGCTCCCAGCTCGGTAATTCAGCTGTGTGGGGAGGAGACAGGGAGGAGCCTCCCTGTCCCTCACTTGCTCGTCACTGGTGAGTTACCATCAAGATCGATGGCCTCAGTGGTTTTATTTTTTTGATTGGACAGCTTGGACCAATGGCGCTTTGCCATTGGACCAAGCCATCCACAGAGCTCACGCCTCTGACACAGAGTAGAGGCTGTGACAGCTCTTGCCTCACCAAGTTAGGTTACACAAGCAGTGGGGAAGCCGCTGCTGTGTAACCTAACTACCTGTCAAAAGCCGGATGCAGCGCCGCCTGTAATTAACATCCACGGCTCCGTCCATGACAGGTGACACGGCGGCGGGAGGATTTCCCTGCTCTGTAACCTGTAGCAAGCTGCACTGAATGGGGATAAAGCTGTCAGCTTCACACTTGAAGCTGACACCTTTTTTCTTCATAATACTAGGTGAGGCTCTGCCCCCCCCCTGACCGCACGTCCCTGATACACATGCTCCTTATACCTGCTGCTGCACAGATAACCACTGACTGTATCATATTGGGACACGGTGTGCAGGGCAGCCATCAGAAATTTTGGGGCCCCTTACACGGCTTTAGGCCGGGCCCCCCCCCCACGCCGCTGGACGCAGGGCTTAGTGACGCGCTGGACGCAGGGCTTAGTGACGCGCTGGACGCAGGGCTTAGTGACGCGCTGGACACAGGACCCACCTGCGAGTGACCCTGCAGAGCCCACCATAGATGCTGTACAGCTCATCTGAGACTGTCTATGGTGGGCTCTGAAGGGGTCTCAGGTGGGCTGGTCAGGGCTGCATCCCTCTCCTTCCTTCCTTCCTAGCTCCTCTTACCGCCGGACCAGCCAGAAGTGACGTCCCGTCACTAACGTGACGGCACTTCCGGCCAGTCCGACATCAGACGAGCAGCGTCGCTGATGGGGCCCTAGCTTGTCTCAAAGCCGCTGCAGCAGCAATGCTGGGGCCCTGCGCTGCTAGGGCCAGCCCTCCGCCTCCTCAACCCTTCACAGTCGGTCGATAGTCATGTAAGGGACCCCGGCGGTCCCCCCAGGCTGCCCGGGCCCCTTACATGAGTATTGGCCGTACCCCCGTGATGGCTGCCCTGACGGTGTGGGTATGTTCAGGACAAGTAGCAGTCCAGTGCCTTGCATGGGAAATTATCTAATTAGAAACCCCCCAAAATGATTTGTCCACCAACTTCTAAAAATTAATGATTTGCTCCAGATCATCTTACCAACTCTTCCTTTTGGGTCCTCCACCCATCTTTACACTTCAAGTTTTATCGGGTGGATGGAACCTGTTGTTTAGGAACAACCAGTACCGATGTTTTAAGTTCCATCTCATATTAGTTACATCATCAAGAATCCAAATGACTGAAAGATCCAGCCCAGCCCCGGACCCAACTTGTCTACCAGACTAGAAGTAGCAGCATTGATGGCTCCTAACGCACTTTTTCTGGCTTATCGCCAATTTTTCCTTTCCGCTCACCAGTATGACAAACTTCTGAAACTGGTGAAAGACTTCCAGCCCTTCCGGGATCTCTGGACCACCGTGTCGGACTGGATGCGCTGGTATGAAAGCTGGATGAACGACCCGCTCACCTCCATCGACGCCGAACAACTGGAGAAGAACGTCATGGAGTCTTATAAGAACATGCACAAATGCGTCAAACACTTCCGCGATATTCCAGGTAAGCTCACGTCATGTGACAAGATGGCTGCCAGCCTCTGTAAACAAATTTGTGGATGTGACCGGGGATGAGCAAAATCGGGGCTTTCGCTTCACTGAAATTTCAAGGAAATTCGCCATTTCAATTAATTGCTTGCTTTGGAGTCAATGGCAAAGGTGAAATCATGGGGGTTTGTAAGGGTAAAATGGGCTTTTAATTGCTCCAAAGATTTAGAGAAGGTCCTTTCAACTGTCTTGGACCTGGTCTTATGCCAAAAAATTCTAACTGTAAAGGTAACTAACCCTAGCCCTAAAAATAATCTTAAAGGGACCCTGTCAGTCTCTTAAAGGAGAACTATGAGGTGCGTGCTTTTCACTCACCTCATAGTTCTAGCCGACCTGTGACAATGAGACTGTCACAGGTCGGCTCAGTAGATCGGGAAGTGAGAGAACGCATACCGGCGTTCGCTCACCTCTCGATCCTGTCACGGCTTCCTGCCGTGACAGGGGAGGGGCTGGATTCCCCCCTTCTCGCTCCGATCCGCCAGCGCTGACTGGTGGATCGGACGGGGGAGGGGGCGGGTACAGCTGGCTCTGCCTCTATCACGCAGCTGGGCGGATCCCGGCACAATTGTCGGGATCCGATTCAGCTGCGGCGTCTCAGTATATAGGGAGCTACAGCTGCGGGAATACTGAGCTTAGGGTGACGGGAGGACGCTAGTTTGTGTCCTCCCGTGACCCTAAGGAGAACTATGGGGAAAAGACTTAACCTCATAGTTCTCCTTTAAATTTTCCTACTGAAGTTCCCTGCAAGTGAAGAACCATTATATTCACCTTTTTGGTGGCCCATGTCTTTCTGCCTTCCCTTCATTGCAGCATTGCAGCCCCCGAAATACTTTTCTGCACTTCACATTTCTGGGAGTTTTGGGTTCCTGTGTCCCCTGTGTGCAGTGATGTAGGAGTTGGAGGATGGAGCCACATCTGATGGCACAGGCATCGAATAATTCAAAGTGCTGGTTGAAGAAAAGTTGTATTGTATCCGTCGCATACCATAGAGGCTTGCCCACAGTTCACGTAGGGTGCTGTAGTGACTTGGTGGATGGCACCACCATATAATCATAGGAAAATAGGGATCTTCACCAGCACACTTTGACATAGTGATGATCTAGTCCTTCATTCACATAAAGCAACAGGTATCAAAAGCCAAAATGTTGTGACCTCACAGGATCCCTCTCTGAAGGCGGAGTGATGAGTCTGAATAGCTGAGTATAATGGCTCTTCTCTTGCAAGGAACTTCAAGGTGGTTTTTCTTTTGGAGACTGACAGTGTCTATTTAAACCTAGGACTGATATCTTAAAGGAGAACTATGGGGTTAAGGCTTTTCCCCATAGTTCTCCTTAGGGTAACGGGAGGACACAAACTAGCGTCCTCACGTCACCCTAAGCTCAGTATACCGCGAGCTGTAACTCGAGGTATACTGAGACGCCGCAGCTGAAGCGGATCCTGACAATTGTGCCGGGATCCGCCCAGCTGCGTGACTTTTATTGGCCTGTTGTGTCTTTACCCCCCAGCCTGCCAGGAAGTGGCACAGGACATCAAGAACCGCATCGAAGATTTTAAGCCATACATCCCACTGATCCAAGGCTTGCGGAACCCCGGCATGAGGAACCGCCACTGGGAGATGCTATCGGAGCAGATACAGATCACCGTCAAACCCAAAGCCAACCTGACCTTCACCCGCTGCCTGGAGATGAAGCTTCAGGACCATATTGAAGCCATCAGTAAGGTGGCAGAAATCGCTGGGAAGGAATTCTCTATTGAGCAGGTGAAGTACCTTGTCTGCCAGCTGGGTTAAAGAGCACACACTCCATGCAGTTATTCTGTGAGATAGACACAAAGTGCAGCCTATTCACTCACATCTAGTACTTGGTGAACTGCTGACATCAGTATGGTGCAGCTCATCACAAGGGAGGTTAGTTGAATTGAGTCTGTATTCATGACAATTTAATGTGGATGCTCAAAGTCACCAAAGGGCCACACATAATATTCAAGGTATATAATGCTACAGAAAGCTGTCAGATACTGTGGACATACTAGTAGATGGTGAGAGACTTTAGGTGTGTTACAGGGGTGGTTGGACACAAGGAACATGACACTGACTACTGCCTGGTGGGGTCTGAAGGCCATGCATTTAACACCAAAGGTCCTCATGTTGGGCATTAGGGATGTAACATGACTTAAATCTTTCCAGCATAGCTTCCTAGTAAATCGAATTCATCCGCACAAGTACAGCGTCAGCTTCCAGCATGGTCTATAGGTGACCGGTACACTTCTTGTAATGACCCACTCGTCGGTTTCTTCTTTCACAGGCACTGAACAAGATGGAAGGTGAGTGGGCCTCGATATTGTTCACCGTCTTGCCATATAAAGAGACAGGAACCTTTATATTGAAGAGCCCGGAGGAGGCCTCCCAGCTTCTGGATGATCATATTGTGATGACCCAAAGCATGTCGTTCTCACCATACAAAAAGCCTTTTGAGGAACGGATCAGCACATGGGAGAGCAAACTTCGCTTGACGCAGGTACTGAAGCTTCTTTATTTATGTATGGTTCAGAGCTACACAGACCCTACCGTCCATGATGTTCTATTAGTATTGCCACATTGATGCTACAGGGATGTACAGAGATCGATATTTTGATGCAAGTTCCCCTACTTTTCTATCACCAGGATGTACTGGAAGAGTGGCTGACCTGCCAGCGCTCCTGGCTCTACCTGGAACCCATATTTAGCTCTGAGGACATTAACCGGCAACTGCCAGTGGAGAGCAAACGCTACCAAACCATGGAGAGGACCTGGAGGAAGATCATGCGGAGCGCCGAGGAGAACAAACAGGTCAGACAACTTCGTGACTGGTGCGCCTGCCCATGTGGCAACTATCCAAGAGGGAGATCCCTCTTAGAGATTTGATCCAAATCATCATTCAATTCAATATTGAAACACTGCACTCTAAATCCTTCAGGAATGCTTCACAAACCCACATTGGAAGCAAAACTTAGATGGGTATATATGTTGACTCTTACACATGATTCCATTAAACTGGAAGGGGGCGGGGGCCCTTGGCTGAAGCCTGATGAAGGGAGCCTGCGAGGTCCCAAAATCACTCGTTTCCATTCTGACGAACTTCTTCAATAAAATTAGCATTTGGTGATTCTAATTGCCTCCGTGAAATGTAGATAGATGAAAGTAGTCACTCGCACTCCATGATATTATGGAGTGCGAGTGACTACTTTCATCTATGTACTTAGTTTTTGGGAGGTAATCTAAGTTTTGGTTTGCAGGTGATTTCCCTCTGTCCAGACCCTCGTCTCCTAGAGAGCCTCCGGGAATGTAACAAGCTGCTAGAACTGGTGCAGAAAGGGCTCAGCGAATATCTGGAAACCAAGCGAGGAGCCTTCCCCAGGTACCCAACAGTGAAAGCCACATACCATAATAACCTTACATTTCACTAAGCTTTCTAAAGATAACCGAGATACCTTCACCCTCTCAGGTTTTATTTCCTGTCTGATGACGAACTTCTGGAAATACTCTCCCAGACAAAGGACCCCACCGCTGTGCAGCCGCACTTACGCAAGTGTTTTGAGAACGTAGCGCGGGTGAGACTTTGGTGTCAATAAAAGGGTATATGAGGTGTAATCGAATGTGTAAAGTACCAATCTAAAAGCATCATTCATTTTTCTGACTCCTCTAAAATCTTGAATGGTGAAATCTCACTGGTCCTTGCTGATTACAGCACTTCACACACCAACATTCTTTCCACATTGTGGTGGATTTGTTACCAGAGATAATTACAGGTGAAACTCGAATAATTAGAATATCGTGCAAAGTTCATTTATTTTACTAATGCAACTTAAAAGGTGAAACTAATATATGAGAGAGACTCATTACATGCAAAGCAAGATAGTTCAAGCCGTGATTTGTCATCATTGTGATGATTATGGCGCACAGCTCATGAAAACCCCAAGAACCCCAAATCCACAACCTCAAAAAAGTAGATTATTACATGCAATCAATAAAACAAGGATTGTACATAGAACATTATCGGACCTCTGAAAAGTACAAGCATGCATATGTACTCAGTACTTGGTTTGGGCCCCTTTTGCAGCACTTACTGCAATTACTTTTGCACGATATTCTAATTATTCGAGTTTCACCTGTATGTTTGGCATTTCACATCCTGTTTAAGCAGCAGATTTATTTAATTTTGTGCGTGATGTCAGCTTTGAATAATTTATTTAAAAAAAATATATATATACAGTATAAATGTATTGCAGACAGTTTGTGGACACCTGCCTATCATAGCTATATGAAATTGCAGGACATCCTGTTTCAAAACTATGGCCATTAATATTGGG